GGGTACCGGCTGGACTCAGGTCCCTGGCGGAGCCGGGTGGGGGTGCAGGGTCCCGATTCAAGGAAAGCTCTCCACCAGGCGGAGGTGCATAAAACTTAGTACCCCTGCAGATTCTTTCAAAAAGAGGGGTCTGTTTGGGCTAAGAAATTGTGGGATTGTGTCTGTGTGGCCCGAGATCATCTCTGTAGATTCAGGGGCACCCACCTGGGGGCAAAACAAACAAAATTGTGATTGATAATTTGTCAGAAGAGCGAGAGAAAGGTGAGGAATGTCACTTGAAAAAAATTGCTTCTGAAAAGACATTGGCGCATTAATTCCTGGGGGGTTGTTGGAGGATAATTGAAAAACAAACCAAACAACACATTGTTTTTTGTGGGAGCGTATGTGGGTTTTTTGTTTTTGTTTGTTTGTTTGGGTTTTTTTGGTGTTTTTTGGCGGGGTGTTGTTTTTTGGGGAGACGCCTCAGGGGCTTTAATTATCTGCCACGGGGCTCCATACTTTGTAGATTGTACACTATTTTTACCTGAGCGGCTAGAGACGAGTCCCGCGCGTCGAAGGCCGGACGTAGCTACTCCGTTCGCCAAGAAAGTTCGATGACCTGACGTCTGGTTTTAATTCGTGAACCGCCGCGCACGCCGGATCGATTTGTTTTAGACGGGTCTGGTTCCTGTTACCAAGACAGCCGACTGATGTCAGAAAGTGGACTGAAACCTGTCTAAACTCAAGGCAGCATGAACTAGCTTCACGGGCAATTTTTCAGAACTGTGTTGCAGGAAGGATGCGTAAATCGAGATATATATTTGAATATTTGATGTGTGATGAAATTTCACCTTCTGACCTACATGTAATTTGTGAAAGTTCCAAACTTGCCACGTATCCAGAGTACTAGCATGACTAGGCCTACCTTCAGAACAGTGGGTACGGTCCGAGCATGCCAACCATGCACCACCATGGTCCGGCGTAGCGCAGTACATTACGTCGGCCTAGCCCAGGTTGGACGACGTCTACATCGCATTGCGACTTTACGTTTCGGAAAATTTCCTGCAAAATACGTTGTCCGCGGGTGTATTTACAATGTAGTAACTTCAACCCAGCATTCATCAGTGTTTATGGAATTTGTGATACAAGGCACTTACCATGCTTGTTAGCGACATTTGAGCTGTCTTTGTCCGGTGGAAATGTGAGAAAAAAATGTTGAAAAAAATATCTCATAGGCCTAGTACTAGTACTGTAGTAGGCCTACTAAAAGAACATGTACATGTAGGAGTAGGACTTTTGTACCCTGGATGTTAGTTGCAATGCAATGTAGACATCTAACCTGGGCTAATGTCGGCCAATCTAATTAATTAATGAAGTGGCTATCGTTACGGCAGTCGTAATGCATTTCTCATATTCTATCATTACGGCACTGAACTGTGCAAGTGCAATGACGTAGCTGATCATCACGATGGTTTATATATTTTATATTTTAAAATTACCTGGATTGCTGAACGCTTGTGGCCAAGTGGTCAAGGTTTGGAACGACTGGTGCGTGAGTTCAAACCTGGCTTGGACTTTTATTTTTTCACCTAAATTTTATACCATGATTGTCTTTTTATGTTGGTATAGGCCTAAGCAGGAATCTTTTTTCTTTTCTCATTGGAGGCTTTGGAGGTTTTCTTTTAAAGGGAAATAAGGTCCGAAATCTGTGCTTAAGTTGGCATGCTTGTGCAGTTGCAGTACCGTAATGATAGAAAATGGGACATGCGTTAGGGCTGCCCTAATAACAGCCACGGCGTAGAATTAAAACCTCACTGTTCAGTAAGTAACTATTAACCTTCATTTAACTATTATTATATCCAGGCTACATGATGAAGGCCTGGATTGAGAAAATAGAGCAAGAACAAAAAGAGCCTGATGCCTGATTCGAACTCAACACCATAAGCTTGCTGAACAGCACATGTACTGACCAAGTCATTGCAGTACATGGATGATCAGTGGAATTGAAAGTAGATTTGCATGTATTGCCAATGAATAATTGCATCATGCCATAATTACTCATACTACACATACATGTCTGATGCAAATGCACTGATTGCATGTAAATTTACACAGACTGGGAGATTTCTAAGTTTTAAATTTCAATTTTTTTTTATAAATTATACTTTTTTATTACATATTTACATGGAACTTGTGCATTTTCAGTCGCATCATAATGGAACAATGAAGTCATCTTCAACAAGAGGAGGCAGCAGTAGGTCCTGTAGACACATTACAGGGCCTCCCAACCTCAGACGGATACGTAAAATGATTTTGCGAATGGATGGCAAAAACAGAAGAAAGTCCACCATGAACACTAGTAGAACTAACAGACAGGAGATTTCTCGGAAGGAGAAAAGGAAGATGAAAAAAGTCAGAGGAAAAGCCTACCATGCAAAAAAGTTGGTGAGTTAAAGTGTGAATGTACATGTACATTGACTCCCACACTGTAGTTGTGCGACATACATGTACAATCGATATTTTACTTATTTTCTGGGGACCAAAATCTTTATGGGGAAAAAAAAATGCCCCTTCAACTGGGTCCAAATCTGCCTAACGAAAGAACTTGTCCCCTTAACACAAAAACATGTCCCCTTAATGTGGTGAATGCCTACCCATCTACATGTACTTTATGACAAAGTGCTGTCCCAAACATTTAATTTTCCCCAATATGTTTCGTCCTATTTTGCAAGAGTCATATTGAATGATACATTTAAAACATTTATGTTGTGGGAGGGCTATTGGGTCAGGTGTACCCTGAGAGAGCATGTACAAACAGTACGTACATGTACATGTATGTTACACCTGAATTCATTGTACACCTTCCCTGATACCAGGTTACGGAGACTACTCACATGTAGAAATATCGGGGAGGGCACATTTCTGTATTTACAACACTGTTCCAACTCCCCTGGCAAAACAAATATTAATAATAATAAAAATAATAGCTTATTCTTGCATAGCGCACATACATGTACACAGCTGATGCTCAAGGCGCGGTATTATCATTATCCCTGCACACTGGGCTCACAACAACTGAACATTCCTGAAACTGTCTCAGCTCCCTGGGGAGTATACTAGCTGATGCTGCCCTATCAGGTGCATATGGCTAACGTAACCAAATCTGCCCTCACAGGTATCCATTTACTCCCGGGTGGAGAGAGGCACATGGGAGTAAAGTGACTTGCCCATGATTGCATCATACTGCCACCAGTTAGATTCGAACCCCCCAACCCTATGATCAAAAGGTACAAACCCTAACCACGAGTCCACATGCCCCCTATTCCCATTCCCAGTCACCTTCCTGAAGGCGGACAGAGCATACTGTTTGAAATGTCAAGTGTCCACCATCAGTTCTTCTCAGAACCACACACTCATAAGAGAGAGATTTTCTTGTATGTGGTGCAGCCACAAGCGTATCTAACCCCCTATTCCCTTTAATTAAAGTTAATGTCAGAATGTGGGGAAGGCCTTCCTGTATATTTTCATGCTTCATTCCACATTATTTGGTACTTGCTAAAGTCCAAGTCACATAGACCTTGTCACAAATTTGAAGGTGCTAACTGTTTATAGCCTGTGAGTAGGTAGTACTGCAAAGCAGGGTCTAGAACTGTTACAAATGACATGTATGGGGTTCTGGTAAGAAATACATCCATCTTATGGATATTGTACAAACAATCAAAAATTTCTGTTCGTGGAGTATGGCTGTACATGTACTTTCAAACAGGGCTGATAAAAACAATTGTGACTTTTAAAATGTTACCATGTGCAACTTGTTGAGAAACTATAGACTTACTATGTAGTTGTGAAGAATTTTTGTAAAGCAATTTTGACCACATTTTAGTAATGTCACCACAATCTATTTTACTTCTATTCACAGAATGCTGGTAATCTTCAAAAGGATTCATTTCAAGGGAACTTGAAAGTACTGGGCAAGAACCGGGAGAAGAACAAGCGCAAAAAACGCAACAGAGCATTAAAGCTTAGAGAAGTAAGATTTCACTTGGTTGCTTATATCTCTGAATTTGTGATAAATCACCAAAAAGAGAAAGTTTAGGCGAGCAAACTCAACAAATGTGGGAGTTATATTGAAAAAGTTAATGCAGCTTGGAAGACATGACAGTTTTGCTCAAAAATGAGTAAAAAATACTCCAAATCATAAAACCAAATTGTCCAAATGAAATGGTCTTTGGGAGGTTATGACAGTAGATATTTATGTTTTCTCTCAGTCTCAAATAACAAAGTAGATGTTCACATAATTACACAAAATTTTGATTATTTAAAACCACAATTTTTTCTAGGAGCAAGCAGTGGCAAGGAGAGAAGAAGAACTAGCGCTAGCAAACAAAGAAGACGAGAGAACCATAAAAAAGTTAGAAAACAACATGAATTTCAGGAAGAAGATCAAGAAGAATGCTCTACCATTTGCCCTTAAAGCAGATGGGCTAGACTGTATCCTTCAATACATGTACTTTGAATAAGTCATTCGTTTATTCACCTGCAGAGCGGTTGACCAAAATCTTCCTTCGTACACATCAATCCTATGCTGTGGTCACTTGATCTTAGCATCACAGGTGATTCTACAATCCCAACCAAGTGTTGTATGTGTGATTGATATGTTTACTGTAGCACTCTGAGCATCATCTGCCATGGGTGGGAACATTCAGTGTACATGTACATGGCCATGGTTTCGCTGGTTCTTTATCAGGCTAGCAAGACACATCGTCAGTAGTTGGTTTGATCTCATATGCTACATTAGTGGTTGAGTGTTTGTCACAACTACCAATGTACAACTACAATATAGCACAAAACACCAAAAGTTAGGATTGACTGCACTCGAGAAATAATGCTTCTATCTGCCTTTATGGATGATGATGTATAGGTACGTAATTGTGATGTTGTAAAGCTAATGTTGCCTTCCAATGATACAGGTATCTATATTGTATCTTTTTTTAACCCGTCATTAGTGTAGCCGGTGCACGTGGCTTCATTACATGGGGCATCAGTTTAACATACATGTACATGTAGTACAGATGTTCTTTCCTGGCCTTCCACCTCTGTAGCCCAGGTTGGAATTCCTCCCACCTCAAAAACTGTAACTGCGTCTCTTTATCTCAACTGGACTGCTGTAGTGCCTTGGACACATTTTGTGTCATTACCAGAAATAATTAATATGAAAAATAAAACATGGCTACAATGTACATTTACATTATGTGTCATTCAGAAAGTGGTGATTTTTGCTATAATTGATCAAATTTGCCTTAGCACCAAACGTTATATATTGGATTGACAGATCTTTTAGATGTTGTGAATCAGGACTATAATGAGATGATTGCAGATGAAGCTGTTGACTGTCAGGACAACCCACATAGTGACCTGGATGCATACAGTGAAGCAAGTAGTGATTCAAACAATGAGTCAGGTTGTGACAGTGACCAGCATGCATCAGTCAGTTTTAAGAAGCAACTTACCAGGATTGAATCTCATCAGTGTTGTAGAACCAGTGAAAGTACAGACAATGAGGAACTTGACATACATGTAGATGAGGCTGGTATGGATGAAGCAGAGCAGTTGGAGAAGTGTACTGATGCCCATGTGGAATCTAAACTACAAGGCCAGAAAACATCAAACCCTCAAAAAAGAAAACATACACACATTGAAAAGGATGGCTCAAATGTACATCAAGACAGTCTAGCCCCCCAAAAGTCATCAGCAGTGAAGATGGATCCATATGGCAATGTCGTTGATGAACACCAAAGAAAGAGCACTGAATCGTACATACCACCACAGAAAAGAGCTAAGATGATGGGTTGTAATCAGGAGAGACATCAACAGCTTGGCAGATTACAGAAACAGCTGAAAGGATTAATCAACAGGTACATGTACATGTAGGAAAGGTGAAAAGCTCCATATCATGACACACTGCTGTAACTCAAAGTGGATGCATTTGAATGAATGGCATAATAATTTGAATACATGTAAGTGAAGTTCACAAAGAAAAACAGCTGTGATGTTGGAGACTTTGTTTCAGATACATGTTGTGTACTAAATAGTGCATCCTCTGACACAAACTGTAAAGTTAAGACTAGCAGCAGTTTACTTTAAGTCAACTTTCATTGGTGTGATGAAGCTTGGAATAAGCAACGCACAGAATAAATCACACTCGTACAGTATTTCTCTCTCTCTGGGGCTCATATATTGACAAGAAAATACTTCTTAAATATATTTACATTTCATAGTTATGTTGACTTGCAATTTTATCTTACCTCTATAAAGATTAAGTGAGTCTAACATACAGTCAATCAGTGGACAGATTGAAGAATTGTATCTGACCAACAGCCGCAATGGTAAGATTAATTGTTTTTTTTTAACTCTGTCTTCAAGCAAAGTTGCACCCTTGATACAATTCAACCACTGATAGCACCAGGAATGGATGTATCACAGATAATTTTTGCTCCATAAACTGGTACATGAATATCACTTCATGGTGAATTAAAACTATTGTGTGCATTAATTTGGGTTGCAACCAACAAATTGTTTCTGCATAACAACAGTTGTTGGATATCTGTTATTTCTGAGTTTTATCACTCATCCAACCTGCACACATTTTAAAACAGTTTCAAAGAGTAAAACTCAGTTCAATATTGCTCATTATTTGCACTGGTAGGAATGTACTTCGTGTGGACCCCAAAACAGGAATTCCTCATGAAGAGTTTAAAGTCATTTAGTGGACTTGCTGTCTTGCTCATAACTATACACTTTATGTTTCCTCCTTTCGGACAACATTTAAGAGGCAATTGGGCTCTGGGTTGTATGTACATGTATCTGTGACAAGTGGCAAATATGCTAAGAAACTGACCAAAAAACTACTTATCAGATTGTTCACAGTGGGAGCAAAATTGTTTTTTTTGTTGAGCTTACTGACATGACTGAATGCAAAGGAATACTGTGCCTGCATATTGTGAGGTATGCCAAGAAACGATGTGTATATTTATCTGCATGTTTGAAATGCACGTACCCTCAGTTGTTTGCCCTGTGATCAGTGAAAGTGAACTCTGAAATGTTTATATCATTATCCCTGCATTGACTCAGGTACAAATATACATTTATGTACAAAGGTTCAAAGGTGATTGTTAAGAATATCAATGAAGAGACTGGAGTTTGTGTCTGACATTTTTTGCCTGAATTGTTCACAGATATGAATCAACTATTAACTGAATTGGTGCTAGACTCCTGTGTTGGTCAGTTATTGAGTGGAGACAGGTTAGTCATGGAACACATCATGCTGATCGCTGTACTTAATGCAAGCATTGGCACAGAAGTTGGTAAGAATTAAATTCTAACTTTTCATGTATGTAGCTCCTAACCCTGACGGGAGAATACAAATCAATAAGGTTGGTACCTAATGCAGTAAGCTGTAATGAGGCACTTTCATAAAAGTCAGTGCTAAATTGTGTTAACTACACGTACTTGATGTACAGCTGTTGTCTTTGGGGTAAACTTCCTAAAATGCCAACTGACGTTTATGACAAAGGTAAAATTTCTCCATTTAGTACTCAGATTTATGATGCATTCTTGATAACTTGATCTTGGAGCCCGCTGTATGATATTCAACAGAAATAGTATTGTTTTCATGAACTTTTGTTCTTTGATAGGAGCGCATTTCATTGAGACATTGGCCAGAAGGTTTGCAGATCTTTATTCACAAGGAGAAAACTATGGCGATGGTAAACAATGCGACAATGTTATCCTACTGTTCACTCACCTCTACAACTTTAGAGTAAGTTTTTTGATTGGCTTTTTTTTTGTAACTATGAAACATGCCCTAAGAAATGACGGCAACTATTCCTATGCAAAATATGGTCCAAATTCATAGATACTTGTATGTAAAGTACATGTACCTAATTGCTGACTTCTTGAAAGTCAGTCTAGATTTCTAATAATTTTGGGCAAGGCATTTAAACTTTCCTGTGATCAATCTGGCCCAAAGGGCAACAAGAGAAGGTGCAGTTTCCTTGGCAATGTGGGCTCCTTGGTGGGAACGGGACTTTGCTGGCTTAAAGATGATTGTGAAGTGCGTGTGTTAGGGTTGTGCCGCTACCAAGAATGTGGCACTCGAAAAACACTCCCAAAATCGGTCTCCATTTAACTGATGAGGGGTTTGTTTGTGCTCAAAATGGAAAGGCTGACGACTTTTGGGAATTTAAACATTTGAAAAATAACACCTGCATCTTAAGGGACAGAGTAGATGCTGATTCAGATAACTTATTTTCCAAAATACATGTAGTGGTATGTTTACATGATTGTTTTTAACATACATGTAGGTGATTCATTGCACTTTGATGTATGACATCATCCGTAAACTAGCAGACAACTTTACTGAGAGAGATATAGAAATGCTTCTCCTCATTCTGAAAAGTAAGTTGTTCCACCGTTCCCATTGTAGTTTGTACTTTAATCAAATGCGACCCCTGAATGAAATATACCGAACCAGGGAAATACCTTTAGGTTGTTCTTTGCTTATGTTTATAATGATACATATTTTTTAAGCATTTCGTCTATTGGATCAGTTGTTCTTGGGGGTTTTCTAGATACAGGATTGATGCTACGAAAGGATGATCCAGAAGCACTGAAGGAAATTATCTTGCAGATTCAAACCAAAGCCAAAACATGCCCAGAAGAATTCCAACGGCAGTAAGTAGTAATGCAAAAATTAAACTTCATATTAGTTATTATTGTTATCATTACTTATCATTTCTGGTATTGACACCATGGATTTCTCAAAAGTGCCCCAGGCACTGTAGCTCGCAAGCCTAATGAAACCTGTAGAAAGGAGACAATGAGAAGCAGATACAGATTTAGAGGTGGGAGGAAAAGCCCAGCGAAATATTCCGGGTAAAACCCACGGAATCAGGTAGGAACTGAAAGCCCAATGCACATGTGGACCAGGCTGGGATTCGAACCTGGACAGCAGAGGTGGAAGGCAAGGAAAGAACCACTACACCAACCCGACTCCCCGGGTGATGATATGATGTGTTGGCAGTAATGTTTTCTATTCAAGCCTCATTTAATGCAGTGCAGGGTTAGACATTTGTTGCTTCATGAAAGCAAAGTAATTTCACATAGCCTGAAATATCCCCAAACAGGAACTGACTTGATAGTACATGTACATGCACTTGTGTCGCGTATCATTCGCTTCACTTTTAAACTCATTGTTACTTTCTGCTTATCTTTCCTCAGGTCAAGAGTCAAGTTCATGCTGGAAACTATTTATGCAGTTCGTAACAACAATGTCCGAAAGATCCCAAACTATGATCCAGACCAACTACAGCGAATGAAGAAAACACTGAAGGCTATGATTAAAGCCAAGGGTTAGTCTGTTGGTCAAGTGTCTGGGATATAAGTTATGTAGGTTGGGGGTATCCGACCTCCCACCTGTTTTGGAAAGAATCACACTGAATATTGTCTCCATTGCTTTCTCAACAGTTTTAGAGTTTCTTCATTGCAGCCTGAAGGAGACTGTTGTTTTAAAATACTGACAATACTTTTGATAATTTCTTCTTTTTTGTGGAATTAGGTCATACTGATTCAGAGACTACATTGCGAATTTCTCTGGAACATCTTCTAAGTGTGGAGGAACGAGGCCGCTGGTGGATTATTGGCTCATCATGGTCTAGCAACAAACCAAAACCTGTGCAACAGCATAGTTCCTCAGAGAAACAAGTTGTCATTGATACACCTAGTAACACAGTTGTAGAGTTGTTTCGGCAACAGCGAATGAATACTGAATTAAGGAAGGCCATATTCAGCATTGTCATGACCGCAGAGGTATGTTACACGTTCACACAGAATGTGCTTCAAGTAAAATGGTCTCTGTAATCTGTTTCAAGTGTGCCAATTTTCATTTCATTTTCATGTGAGATGTTATCTAGATGCCAGTACAATCCAGAGAACATGCAGAACAGAGACAACCTACCCTGAACCCTTAACTGTAGAGGTCAGGTATCCATGGTGGGAGATACATTCCATCAATATGAAATTGCTAATACTTCATACATTATTTACTTCCTTCAAAGGATTATTTAGATGGTTATGAGAAGATTTTGCACCTGAGTTTGAAGTCTGGCCAAGAGAGAGAAGTTGTTCATGTCATCATCAATTGTTGCCTGCAAGAGTCAGTGTATAATCCATACTATGCCCATCTTGGAACCAAACTATGCCAGCATGACAGAAAATACAAGGTACCAATTTAATCACCGGTACCCAGTTAGCATTCTGTGAACCACACTGTTTCTTAGCCCAAGTTACTATTATGGAAGCATGAAGAAATGATGGTGTGAGTGATCTACAATTGACTTTTTAGTTAACTCAACTACCATGCACAGTATTTGATTTCAGTGAAAAAAAAATCATACACTGGGGTCGTTATATACATTGGGGGTTGAAAGAGACTATTTCATGTTCCTGTGACACCCGACCCGTGTACTTTCAAATAAAAATATTGAAGTTGCTTTTAAACTTCTTTTTGTCTGGCTTTGTTTGGCCATTATTTTGTATAACCGTTACTTTGCTACTACTTGGTATTAACCCTAACCCCCTAGCATGCCTAGGGTGTATGCAAAGTAATATTGAAATTGGAGGATTTGGGACTGTTGGTATTAAAGAATGTGTTCTGATCTTTGTCATGTCAGGTGTGACAGAGACATGAAAAAAATGAACCCTATATTAAGAGAATGACCCACTCAGTGAGCCAAAAGATGAGGTCAAAAACTTGTATTGTTCTTCTAGATAAATATATTATACTTAATACATGGAGAAACTTACCTAATGATGCCTTTCAAACATTAATTCATGCGGTTTATTTTGGATTTTTAATTATAGATGGCTTTCCAGTTTGCTTTCTGGGACAAATTCAAGATTCTCTCAGAGTTCTCTAGCAGAAATCTTGCTCTTCTGATCAGTCAGATGTTGCTTTTCAGAGCTATTTCCATTTCTGTTTTGAAGGTTAGTTAAAAATATGCACATTAACACATCATCTAAATAAAATTACTTGTATCCTTTTTTCTGTTGGGAGCCTGGGCCTGCACTTAATTTGTAGAATTCAACAAATAAGTGGGAATGAACTGATATTTCATCTGAATGCAAAATGACTCAGATCCATTGTTCCACTTTATAGCCCTATTCCCATACAATAGTGAATACACCTGCATGATAAAAATTTTTCCATAATTAATTTGCTTTTAAACTAATGGTGCACTGTGGACAGTGTAAAATGTGCATGACGCTGTTGCATGATTGTACTGTACAGATGTCGTGCTCAAATAAGTTCATTCCAATTAGAGTACTGTAACAGGAATCTAGTGTATTTTCATTTTGTGATATGAATATTTCCTATTAACTCAAAGGAAGGGTCCATTATTCCCAATCCACACTCACTTGTTTTGACTCACTTAACCTTGCTTTAATTAAAATAACACAATCCATTTCAATTTAAGGATAAAATGTTTCACCAACTGGAGATGAGACTAATTAAAGCTTTTTCTTCTTACCTTTTGATTTTCAGGTGATAGAATTTGCAGACATTGACAAGACTACAGTTCACTTTCTCAGGCAAACCTTGAGATCACTACTTTTAAGTCCATCCCAGAAATCTGTTATGGCTGTGTTCAGCTCGGTGACATCGTTGCAAAAGTTGCAAAGCTTCCGTGAGAGTCTCCGTTTATTTCTGCTGCACTTTTTACTTTCAAAGAAAAACACTAGTAAAACTGCTGATTTGCAGGTGGAGTCAAAACTGAGAGAACGTGTTCAACAAGCTAATCAAATTCTGGCAGAAGATTGTAGTGCAACATTTTAAAGATTTCACACAGGGTTTGTGAGACCACTAAAGACAATTCTACCAGTAATAGTCTCCATGTCACTGTCGAAGAAGACAGAGTCTTAGCTTACCCTTTAAAAGGCAGTTTTTACTTGAAGACTGTGCAATGACCGTACTAAACAGTCATGCATGTGTCTTAGTACCCCAGTACCTGTATCTCTGCACATACTGCATTGTGTTTGTCTCAATTTTGCACATGTATCTCGCATCCATTTTGTATATCATATTAGTAATATTTCGCAAGCTGCATTGGCAGTGTTCTGTGATAGGTTATCTTGTGTCATGTGTGTCCCTTCAGTAATCCAGTTGTTTCCAACTGGACAGACACATATCCGCATTTTGACCATTTTCATGCAGAATTTCAACTCAATGGAGAAAGGTAATTACGTGTTGAAATGAATTTAGAATGAAGTTAGTAAGTTCAATGAAAACGTCTTGCCATGAAAACAAAGCATTGGAGGCAACATAATTTTGTCAAGATGAAGGCACATGTGTGCTTTATTCAAAGCATTCTGAAGAATGAGTAAAGATACTTTTCCAGTAATGCTGAATTCAGTGTGACAGTAAATTTCAGTGTCACATATTTCATCAAAAACTCTTGAACTACAAGTTATCTCTGGAAAAGTCTATGAAAAACCAACATCAGTGCAAAGTGACCTGTCTTCCTGTAAGTTTCACAGGTGTTAGTCTTAAGGTGTAGAATATGCATGCATAATTTAACTTCTTTACATTGTATTGAAGTGACCCACTAAGGGCAAAGACATGTCTTGGTTTAGTGCACTTTGTGAAACCCGTGCAGTGAACAATTGAGGTTTCAAGAACTAATGTAAAGTTAAGGGGGTTGTGCGTGTGCATTTGGCACACTTACCTGTGAATTCTGGATTTTGGTTTCCTCATGTTTTAGATTAAAGACTCAGAGGAAGATCTAGTTAAAATTTGACACAAATTGCCCATTTGCAAACTATTTCACTAAATGGCATTAGTAAATTAAAAGAATTTTTATTTCATAAAAACAAATAACTTATTGTGAGTTAGTTTGTAAAAATGCAAGTGCGCACAAAGGTTTACCTTTACGTTAGTTCATAGTGACGGTGACAGTGCATGTAGTAGTTCATGCAAGGTAAACTGTAACTGAACATAAAACCTCACCAAGATTCTTAGCCTTGCAAAAGTAGAATCGTGACACTTGCAATATTCTGAAAAGTTGAGTAGAAATCCTCCCACAGTCCCACAAATTTAAGCCACATTTCCCTCAATCATTTGGACTTGAATGTGTATGAATTCAATTGTAAATTACTTGCTACATCAATCTGTTACCTGCACTTCAGTTTGCCCTTCTTAATGAGAATACAAATGCAAACATGGACACAGTAAAATTAAATGCAAGTTGGAATTATCTGCATGCCTAGAATACTTATTGTACTCTTTCACACACTATTTTCAAGGGATACACAAGGTTATTTAACAAACACCAATATGTATAAATTTCAAGACTTACTTTTGGTCATTTACACTTCTAAATTATACCAAGGTGATACTTAGATTTAATTGGTATAGTACAGGGTGTGTACAGGTGGCTGTAAATTATGCAAATTCTGTACTGTACCTTGGAATACAAGTGTTGATTTGAGAACATTCAAAATGCCCCAACGCCATTGAGTTTCTTCACAGATTTGGTCGAAATCTTCACCCACATTAAAAACTACTACATAGCAAATTATTCATGTCTGAATTATGGCAGACTTACTTTTGCCAAAGTACCTGTCAGTAGTCTTGGAAGCACCTAGACGGAATGCATTGAAAAAGTAGTTCCTGGCAGAGCAAGATATTTCAGCTTGCTTACCTTTCCCAGTCCTTGGCAGATGCAACCAACAGGCAACTATTAACCAACAGACAACTATCAGCCACTTTAAGTTGGCCAACAGTCCATTTAGCTTATAAGGTAGAAACAATCCTCCAAACAAAAAAGATACGATTGGGGAGTGGCTTAATTGTGAGCTATATACATACATGTAGTTCCATGGTCACATCCATGGTAAATACCACTGCTCAAATTAATCCGTGAAATAGTGTCGTGGTGTGTATATTATCATTAAAAGCATGCATTTCATCTTCCTTGGTCCTACAGTACTAGTTAGGCATGAGTAATGATTGATAAATTGTTCATGATTACATGTATTAAATACACATGTATAAAAGAATACAATAAAATACTTCTTTTCTATTGATTAATATCAGAATCTTCAAGTTAACCAATTTTTACAGAATTAAATTCACCCTAGTAAGTACATGTACATAAGCTTAGTGGGTAGAGGCTGTGGCACTGTGATGTATGATTGACAACACCCGTCTTCAATCCTCAAACTGAGTGTTTTTGTCAAAGCATGGTCAAAGTACTTTTTATTACAGAATAAATTCAACAACAACCACCACCACTGTTTGGATCTGCCCCATAAGCCACATTTCACATTTATTTTTTGATGTGTCATGCTTCTGAGTTATCTCTCAATACTGAGAGTTATTAGAGTTATTAGTTCCTTATAAACGTCGGTTAATAGAAAATTGTCATGGAAAACATACACAAAAAATTCAGTAATCAATTGCTGTCATGATGCAGTTCAGATGTCATATATGAATTCGCTGGTAACATACTGTACCTTTACAAGTCATATTTTACTTTACTAAATACAAGTCAAACATTTTACTTCAAGCATTCTGAATTGAAGCTAAACTAAAAAGAAAGGCCTGCGGCTAGTTTTGCTCAACTTCCGTCTGCATTGAAAACGATTGGTTCTTGAGCGCCACATCTTGGCATTCTTTGTAAATAAAATGAGAACAATGCATGTGTAGAACTTGGCTTACACAAATGTATCTTTTTGATTTGTGGAGTTAGTATTTTTACATCAATACAAACATACATAATGAATACACAAAGAAAAGCAATTAAAATGTCACAATCAGTAAAGAAATTTTCAACCTTATGTCATGCCAGTTAATGTGTGAAGGCAGTGGTAGAGAAAACACGTCTGAATACTTAGCTAAGGTGCAATCTGCTCTTGGCTAATTTCATGCAATTTTACCAAGGAGGCAAAAGGTTTCAACTTCATCTCAGTGGTATTTCAAAAGAAACTTGTCAATACAGATTTGCAAAACTGTATTTTGAAAATGTAAATGTCAGACAAAAATGGTCTTCAGTAAGGTGGCATTTCCATATAAACTGTCAAAACATAGAACAAACACTGAAAATAATTTCAGGACTATGGGTTCAGTGGTACTACACGTACATCTGCATAGATGTTCAATAACATTCTGATGTATATCCCTTCACCACCTCCTCTGCTTGTAATGTATATACACTCACCTATAATCAGGTCAGGCAACTTTCCGCCTATTTTCTTTTTTAAGTATATATATAAAAAAGTTTATAAGCTTTCGATTACACCTGATGTTTTACGTCAAATATGTACACAGTAATATATGGCTGAATTTCTGGGATTACATTTGACTAAACTTTGGGTCTGTAACAGTGCAGTGTCAGTTTAAAGACTGAATCTGAACTCTAGTTCAAAGCAGTACTGAATGTTATACAATATGTCAAAGGCTTCCTATATGTAAATAGCAAGTCACACAATATCAAATAGATCTCTCAAACAAATTAGATTTGTTGCCAAAGAAAATACAATGGCTGGGGTTTAGAATCCTAGGTTGCTACGTTGTATCCATGGTGACGACCTCCTACATGTCATGGATTACCTTGGCCAAAGATCTGTAAGGGAATGACAGAAAACTTGAAAGGTTCTTTTTATATAACACATTATCTACAACTAGAAAATGACTGAAGCTATTACAAAAAGTCATGGAGTACCATAGTTTTAATTCTGATAGTGTTCTCTTAAGATTATGCATTCAAAATTTTTTTTTGGCTGATTACACTCAATCCATGCGATGAACAATTGTTATCATTTCTGTCTTAATCTTAAACCATCTTAGAGTATTTTACAGTCAATTTCAAATGTGCACAACGACCCGACAGCACAGCACCAAATGCAGCTTTAAGACATGTCTTACACTTTGCCTCAGTGGCATATGGGGGGAGGTTGTCAATACTTGTTTATGTTTGAGTTTTTAAGAAACACTTCAGACACGAGACGATGTACAACTTTGGGGGGCTCTTACTTTTCTTGGGGGATTGTTTTTCAAAACAAAAATCCCTTTAAGCCCCCTCCTGACTCAAAATCTAGATAAGCTTCAAGCTGTCTTGCCTGGGATTATTTACAGGAATACCATTGGCAAGATTTAATGTAAAACTCATAATGCGTAGCTACCGGTATAAAATAAATGGATGATCTCTGACCTCTGGATGCACTGACTGTGATGTCTACATACCAAGGAACGTGGTAGCTTCAGCATGTACATGTACATGAATATATCAATACAAGTAATCTATGTGATTCAGTGATATGTGAGGTGTGGCTGATTTGAAGGACGACGTGTAAAGGGGCACATGATGCCAGATCAATTTCAGTATAAATATGATGTCTACATGTACACAGCCCTGCAGTGACAAAGTGTGAGCTAACCACTCTCAAATCAAGGTACATGTACAAAGCAAGTATGATGGGAGGGATAAAGCAGGAGATGGATGCACCTTTGTTGTAAAGCTTTCTGTCATGTCTAGCATGCATGGCATTTGTGTGTGTGTGGGTGAATGGTGGGTGCAGTGGGAAAATGCAAAGACAGGTGTGTAGATAACCTCTGACCTTATACAGGTAACGTGTAGATGCATCGGTAACTTTAGTGCATTTGTGTATGATGGAAAGCCAGTGACACTCAAGCAAATCATCTATCATGTAACACCTGACAAGCAATTTACAAAAGACTGGGAGCAAGGAGCCAATTGCGAGGTGTTTTGACATCCCTACCTTGATTATGTGGTGTTTGTTAAAGACAGCCATACTGCTTCAAAAACATGCACAACGGGGGACAAGCAAAAGGGAAGAATTGTCTGGAAGGTGACACATCAATATAGACCATGGATGACAGCTAAAACAAGGATAAGGCGCAGGGATGGGTTCTGACTGGGGAACAGGTTGATGCCTTTTGACCTTGAATGCTCACATGCATGGGCAGTGTGGAAAGTGGTTGTCGGCCGCCAGCACTACGTTAGGTACATGTAGGTTCATGCATTGTGGCAATAATACAATGAGCACAGCCCCACCTGTCTAAGCTGTGACACACTGGCATCCCCTTTGACCTTTGCTTGTTCTTCTTCCTTGGATCTGTAATTGTGGATCTCAGCTCTTCTTCTTGGATAAAGAGCACTCTCTGAAGTTCCCCTGTCTGGTTGTATCTCAACATCTACATGTATGGTTTCTGTCTTACAGGCATCATTAGATTTGGTATGCACTTTTCTTACTGGGGGCACTGGAATTTCTTCAAATGAATCACAGGACTCTGCCTTAGATTTTTGTGGGATTGGCGATATTTGTTTAGATGAATTTTCCAGTACTGTTGCATTATTTGGAGATGGCTCAGATTTTTGAGATTTGCCAGATTTTTCAACAGGTTTGGGATCTTCCTGGTAAGAGACTGAGCTAATTCCAAGAAAAGGCTTTGTTATTGAAGATTTTTTTAACAGTTGGAGCACTGCTACATGTAGTTACTGTTGTAAGTGTTGTGTTAGTAACAACGGAAATTGGGGACTGGTTAGAAAGAATAAGGGCCCCAGTTGTTCCATCCTGTGGAGATGAGTTTGCTTGAGACACTTTGACATTTGATGTCTTTGGCTTGGAGGTTCGTGGAGGAATTACAGGCTGTTCATCAGTATTGAGATGCATTTCATTGGTTGTGTAAGTTGGAACTTTTGAGGAAATAAGAACATTATCACCCATCTCCCTCTGGGACCCACCTCTTACAAGGTGAAAGGTCAAACTATGAGTTTCCCTAGTTGGATCATATGAATCAAGAGTATGGGCCCTACCTCTGCTCCCTTGATCACTTTCTGATTTGTTTGTAGGTTCAGGAGGATTGGAGCTTGTACGTTGACGTTCTGTCTCAGACTTCCTTGAGAATTCCTTCTGTGCAGATAGGATGTAAGAATACTTTGGTGTCTTCTTTTTGAATAAACTAAAACCAGATTTCTTCTGTTTGGGTGACTTGGGAACACTGGAAGATGCTGGTTTAGAAGCTTCTGAATTAGCAACTGCAAATGCACTGATAGAGGACTTTTCTCCTGACATGTGTTTGTCCTCTGTTTCTGACACATCAGCTTTGTCTTCGACATGTTTGTCCTCTGTTTCTGACACATCAGCTTTGTCTCCCATGTGCCTCTCCTCTGGTGGTATATTGTGATCATCAACTGTGAGTCTTCTGCCCAAAGTACCAGTAGGTTCTTTGTTGCCTGCAGCAGGTGATTCCTTTGTTTCTGTTTCAGTCACTTCTTTCTTTTCATTTGATTCAGGGGATTTGAAGAGAGGTGGTCTTTGTTGATGTTGAGGGCTGCGGAGAGTGCTTGGTGGGGATGCCTTGACGCCTGTGATTTCATTCTTAGGAACATCTCGGGATCTAGCAAAATGGTAGGTTGGATGACAAACAGAGACTTCATCTGCTTTCATTGGAGGGGAAAGAGGCTGTGGTTCATGGTCATCTTTAATATCAGAAGTGTGTTCACTTGTAATCACATCATCTGAAGAAGGTGAGTCATCTTTAATTGAAACAAGATCAGATTTCGATGGGGACTCATCATTCTTAGACAGAGAGTCATCATCATTAATTTGCAAGGCAACATCTTGAGTAGTAGACACAGTTGATTCATTCAACTCGTGAGTAGATGAAATAGGAGTAGATTGAGCCTGAACTGTAGCAGTAGGCATCACTTGTTGGGTGTACACGTTTGGCTGAGCAGTGTTGTGAGGGACGGAATGAACCGCTGAAAACATTGGTGGAGTCATCATCAGTTGCTGAGGTGACATCATTATCTGTTGCTGTGGCGACAGCATCTGTTGAGACATTATTTGCTGCTGTGGGGATATCATCATCTGCTGTGGGGGTGACATCATTTGCTGTGGAGACAGCATCATCTGTTGCTGTGGTGATATCCCTGGTTGTTGGAATGCAAGAGGCATTACCATTGGCTGTTGGTTAGATGACATCATCATCTGACTAATGATTTGCTGCTGCAATAAAATCTGTTGCTGCAACTGTTGCATTTGTATTTCCATGATTCCTGGTTGTTGAGGTATAACCATCTGCTTTTGTAATGCAGCTAGTTGTTCTTGTAGTGCTGAATATTGTTCATTTAATTTCTGTACTGTTGTATCTGCTGGTGCTTCCGATGAAGTCAGTTTCCCTTTTTCATCTTTCTTTGGCCTTTCATCTGCCTTCATCTCTTCTTTCTCTTTCACTACCTCTTGTACAGACTCTTCCTCTGTTTCGTCTGTATTCTCATCCTCAACTTTATTGTAGCTTTCTTCCATCTTAGTTGCATCTTTTCTTTCTTTCTCTTCTACTTTTTCATCTTGATCTTCAATAGACTCTCCTGCATTTCCCTCAGAATCTTCTGCTGATTCTCTGGTAACTTCAAATGCCAGAGCATGGACAGATTTTTCTTCAAACATATCATGGGTATCATCTGCCTGTGTATGAGGAGGGTAATCATCAGTATCCTGTGTGTCTGCATCAAGACTCATCTTCATCATATGAGAGAGCAACTCCATCTTGGCTTTACTGTCCTTTGCTGTTGAGAAACAAAAAGGATATATTTAAAGGTATATGTATGATACTGACATTTCACTGAAATGTTTAATTTGAAATTATGACCACTGCAGTTCCCCATACCAAACTTCCAACCTGATGCAATGAAAGTTGACTGTCCAAAATTATTTGTGAACTGATCATGTACATGTATGACAACAGCCTCATGTACATGTAATTTGATTTTGAATCATAAATTTGAAATGACAGATGAAACCATACAAAATGTCCCTTAGTACCAAGCATGCATAATAGTACAGTCTTTCAATTTGAAACAAGGATTTAGAAGTGGTTGTTATCGACACAAATTCGTATACACACTACATAACAAATTCACCCCTGCACCCACTGAGCTGACGGGTACAAAGTTAAAATGCGGTGAGTTGCATTAACCCTACATGTATAAATTAGAATAAGTTAAGCTACATGTAAATAAACTGTGGGGAGGCACATATCACTGTTACCAGTGTTGGTATATCAGTAATCCTTCAGCTACAGCTACATGTACGATCATTATTCCAAAAATACAAAGCTGCTCAGCAACTTGCAACCTGTAACTACATGTAGATTAGAACAAAGCTTTGACTTGTGACAAAACTGAGAGGTTTTGAGTCTAGATTGAATTCATCACTAGCATTTCATTAGCTTTTGTGTCTGTTAAAAGTAAGCATGAACCATCTGACAACAGTAATGTGAACCACTAATACATAAACTTATGTACGAGTAAACAGAAATTTTAAAACCTTTTCAGCAAGCAGACATCTACATGTATACAGCCTAAAAGCATCAATAGCCACCAATGCTTCAAAAGGTTTACCATAAATATTTTGTTATTCTTATTGCATTACGGTATTGGATGAAACCAAGCTACAGTGTATGAACCAGTGGGAAAGCGAAACAGCCAAACATCAATTTTGAGATTTATTATCTTTCAAAGCAAGTTAACACATTGGACTTGATAACCCAAAAAAGCTGCTGGCAGGTTTTTTACCTGCAAATTCTTCAACCTTGCAACTGTGCTTTGACCCAACCAAGCACGGCCCTTTAATACATCAAACAGGAAAATGAAAAAAAAAGGCTTTTTAAGTGAGTGTACCTGGTACATGTCCTCAATGGAACCAATAACAAAAATTATATGTGTTTCCACGTCATCCAGCATCAAATGGTTAAGTATGTAAATGTATCTTATCAAGAAATATTTTTGTTGTACCTTACAAGGGCACAAGACAACAGGCTGAGAAATGAATGTGATTGGTCACTGCAGGATAATACAAATAATACAAAGCAATGGATGTTCAAGTGATGATGTGCAAGCTTAGTATGTAAATTGTAATTTATTCAAGTGTATGAATATGAACACAGGTTCTGTTATTCAGTACTGACAAACAGTTGTTAACAGGTTTGAAATTGACACAGGTGGACTTGAAATGGAAAAAGACAGACACAAATAAATTTCGATGAAGGTGATAATAAAATGTGAAAATCCCATGCAGCTTCTAAAATTAATTTTTAAAAATTGCACTTTCTGGTGATAAAATGTGAGGAAACTATATTTTTAGTACAAGGACCATACAATACAGTAATCAAGGATGACATTAATCAAACAAGTCCTGAAAAAGCATGTTAATTTGGCTACTGGCTACAGCTTCCACTAATACACCAAAGACTGCATTCATCGTTAAAAGATGAGATCTTTACTTCTGAGCAGTTTTATCTTTAACGCTTAGACAGATAAAATTTTTGAAAAAGGCTGAAGCTGAATGCCCTTAAACTGAAAAGGATCATCCTAATTTTTTTTCTGCACAAAAATAATTCACAAGTTTGCAGAAAGGGTTGGTGAGAACTCTTTTTTATTTACTGGTAGAATAGGAGAAATGTTGGTGAATTGGAATCCAACATCTACACCAGTACACTGTACTTTGGTTGATAACTCATACATTCTTGCCTAGCTAGTAGCCAATTCCAATTTCATTTTAACAGGATGACCATACAATGAATCACTGTAAGCAAGCAGCATGGATCTTAGCAAGCATTAATTGAATGTTAATGACAGTGCGACTACACAGCAAGTAAGTTGTGAACTGACGAGTTGATGACAAACAATGTCACTGTCAGCTAACCTGTGAAACCAGGAATAAAGATGGAATGATTATCAGCTGTTGAGTTGACTTTCCTTTCCCTGAGTAGATCCTCAGCAAAAGAGACATCGTTATCAGATGTTTCATGTGATTGGCTGATAGCCATGCTTTGGTTAGAAGTATTCACCCTGGTAGATGGACATGAAGTAATCTCACTGCTGGTACACACATGTACAGTTGCCATGGCTACAGAGGGCGTTTCCACGATGTCAATACTCTCCGGCATAAAACTCAGCTTCATACCTTCAAGAGGTTTGGCTTTTTCCAGAACAGATAAAGACCGCTCAGATCTCACTCTGGTTGGTACTTCAAGAGCCGAAGTGTCTGATTTGGATCTCGAACGTGTCACATCACCATTCTCCACCAGTATGGAATGTCCAGCCTTTGTTGTCGATGTAGTTTCATCATAGACAGCATAAACTTTCACTGGTCCTTTCTGCCTCAATTTTTTTAGGTGAGTGGCTGGAATTGTCTCATTAATGTGTGTTATTAAAGCCCCGTCACCATGTTCATTGTTACAATTTGCATGAGAAGAATTAGGAGCTGGGAGAGCTACTGAAGTTGAGGAAATCAGAAGGTAAACAGAACGTAAGAAACTACTGTGAGAAACAAAACTACATGTATTTGTGCATTACGAAAAAAAGAAGAAATACAATCATACCATAACCAAGCTCCTGAATAGCACCAGCAGTTTAGAAAAATTGTTATCTTTTCAAACCAAAATTAAAGACATTCACTAAAAGCAAAGTACTGTACAGTATGAGGATCCATGCTCAGTACGGTATGCAGTGCAGGATATGTATTTCTACCAGCAGTGCTTAATGTACAAGGAATTTCTTCAGTTGCAAAAATGTCTTTTTAAATTAATAGCATCAAAAACATGCAGGTATGACCTCAAAGAGATATGTAAAGGTGCAAGGACACAACAAAAACTAATGTACATGTAAACCAG